AAGTGAATGTGGATAGGGAAGGGAAAAAACAAAGGCGAAGGGGGAAGGGGCCGGGGGGGGAAGAAGGGGGGGGGGGGGGGGGGGGGGGGGGGGGAAGGGGAAAAAAAATAGACAAACCCTGCCCTGAAACAGCCATGCAGCTATTAAACATATGCCAAAGTAAACAATAGTGTGAGGGTCTGCCATAGCTTTGCCCTGCAGGTAGACGGCAGGCGGCACAGAAGGAAAGCAAATGGCAAGGAAAAGAGAAAGATGGTACAGGATGTGGATGAGATGCCGAGCCCTGAGAGCATGAACGGCCTGATTGTGATCCTCAAGTCACACCATCAGCCATGCAAAACAGGACATACCTTTCTGGCTTGCTGGTTCTGTCGGCTGAAACAAAGCAGTCCCATTCTCAGCAGGAGGCCAAATCAAAATGAAATTTTATTTAGTCTGCACTGTCCCCAGATTGGGTTTCAGAATGACTGCTTTAGGAGATAGCATGGATGTGGCTGATGCATGCTTTGCATATGAAACTGCAATAGAGGGGGAAAAAAAATCTACATAATCAAAAAAATCTGTGCCGTGTGGATGGCAAAAACCCCTGGACGTTAGTGAAGCAGCTACAATGGATGTTTTAAAAAATGACCTTCCTGAAAAAAATGCACATTTGTGCTCTGCAATGCTATTTTCAATAAATATATATTAGATCATTTTGTATGTAATTATTCAGAAGCTGCTGTGAGAGACTGAAATATCAAATAATTTGTCTTTTTTTTTTTCTTTTTTTTTTTTTAATAACACAGAGCAGAATTACTATTTGGAAACAAATGCAGAGAAAATGTATATCTAAAGAGGTTTTCTGTGTCTTGCAGTGGCTGGGTGTGACTGCACCTCAAAATCCTCTTCAATATAATGTTTTGTTTAAGTCCTGTTTCCTAGAGTACCCAAAGAAAGGCCTGCTGCAGTAAAGAACATCTGCTTTTTGTGCCACTGATCTAATGCATTCCACCTTGCACTTTTAAGAAAGGATACATTCTTTGATTAGACACACTTAATTTTACAGACTATTAATAAAGTAAAAAGATCATCAACTGATCACACAGTATTTTCATTAGAAGTTAGAAATAACTTACAAAGGCAAGGAATAGTCTGCTGAATATGCAGGGCATATACCATGTAATGCCTTTGTTGTCAGTTATGCTGCAAATGAGATTTTCAAATAGGATTTGCAGAGGCAGGGCAGTGATCAACACAGTGCAACATCCAGGAAAGGAAAGTTGAGCACAGTGTTCTGTGAAACAAGGGGGCAGAAGGGAGCCTGTTTGTAGATACATATTATTATCCATAGAAAACACCACGGCTTGATTTTGCTACACCACCTACTTGGAACTAGGTGATACCAATAATTGTGTAAGTGCACACCTGTGTGGGCACATGTGCTCGTATCTGTCTGTGTGCAGGGCATGTAAGCCTGTAGTCTGTGCACATGTACATGCTTGATTCTTACACTGTAAAAGACAAGCAAAAGTCAGCACAAACAATACACATTTTCAATTGAAAGATATTTCTGTGCTGAAACAAGTAGTGCTAATACCGTTCTCATAACTCTCTAGCATATGGACAGCCAAAGAATGGGAAAGAAAAAAAAAATAAACAAAAAACCAACACCACAAAATCTTTCAGAATGCAAAAATGTAAGATCCCAAATAAACAATATAGATAAAAACTTGCAGCAATAAGGAGATACAGTGTAAATCATTCACACAATGCTTTCACACAGCAATGATGGAAGTCACTGACAATAATGCAACCATGTGCAGATACTCCTTGGAGAAACCGTCAAACAAATTTTGTAATTCTATCTCCTGTGCTTTGCAGGCTGAGTTTGAGACTTGCCTTAACCAAACACGTGAAAATATTGGTGTTTTAAAATTAAGTATTGGACATTATGGAAGGTAACTTCATAATGAGTTCTCCTATTGCTATTTAAAGCTAGAAATCCATGAGAAGCGCAGTGAAAAATATAACATTTGTTCTCCTTATGTCTTGGAACAACTGTTTTTATATTTGTAGTCATCCTAACTGTTGTTCCAAACAAGATATTCAGATACTCCCTAGCCTCATGCTGTCTCATATTTATACTGATGCATATCTTATTGTGAAGCTTCAAATGTATTGAATTAATTTGATTTTTTTTTGTGGTGTTATTATTTTTATAAATGCTGTTTTTTCTTTCTTTTTTTTTTTTTTTTTTTTTTTCATCAGAACTTCCCACTTTAGGGAAAAACAAAGATGTGATTGCTTTAAAAACAGAAGACTTTAAAAACAAAAAACAAAGCTAGTATTCCCAAAATTCAATGCACCTGGCATTCACTTTATACCTAATAAGCATCCGTGAATATGCAAATGTTCAATGTCTCTAGTAACCTCATTAATTTATTCCTCAGGCAATCAAAGAATGTGAACCAGTCCTCTGCTACTAATACTGGAAGTGGTACGCCGCTCAGCATTGCTAGAATCATCTGAATGCACATTCTACATATTGAAAAATTGTTTCATCTTTCTTCCTTCCTTTGCCACTGTAATTCAAACAAAGACTTCCTACCTCAGTTTACATAGCTGACAGCAAAAGTTGAAAAATGCCAAAAAATCATTAAGACATATATAATATATATCTATATCTCCATGTGCAGACATGCACGCTGGGAAGATAAATAGTTTAAAGAGATCTCAACAGAATTACAGTTTGAAAACCATCTGAGTTTTCTTATTTATTTATTTGGAGAGGGGGGAGCTTGGGCAGGATGGGGGAGGTGGGGGAGAAATGACCTGCCTTCTACTCAGCAAAGCAGCTGAATAATCTTTTCCTTTGCCCACATTAAAAGCCCTGAATAATGTTTATAAAATGTTAGGGAATCCCGGTAGGTTTCCTATTTAACAAGCCATGTATGACAAATCACAGTGTAATGTACTACGTTCTTAATCTTTAATTAGAATGTGAATATCTGCGCGAGAACGCAGTTAACTTTGACACATTAAATCTTCTGGTTAAAGTGCCTTACAGGAAGTGCAAAGATGAAACACTGCAACAATCTACTGCCTCTCTCCATTCACCCAGACAGTTGGGGAAGGATGATAACATCTTGTAATACCTGCTCTGTAGTAATTAATCGCTGTGGTATTTAGGACCATTCAAGTAGACAAATATGACAGAGACAGGGACAATTAGGAACCTTGTTCAAGCTACATTAACTTTTCCAGCTATTACAACACAGCAGCTCAAGTTTGCTTGTAAAAGCTGCAGAGGGATTGTTATGCATTAGCCGTGCGATTATTAATGAAAGAAAAGGAGAATTGTGTTTATTGTAGTTTGAAAATTGCAAATAAATTTCAATTATCTGCTATGTCATTTTGTTAAACATGCATTCTGGAAATGCCTTTGTACTCTAAATCATGAGCTACTTAGAGCAAACTAATACTAGAAAGCCTTTGGGAGATACAAAGTCAATATTTTTGTTGAAATGGCCTTCTTTCCTGTTCAAAGCAGAGACAGACAGAGCTACCTGAAAATATTTCAGATAGTTAACCCCACAGACACTGGCATTCACCCTAACTCCATGTACCAACAGGCAGTCGTATCAGACTTTGACATATCACTGGTGGAAGGTGCACTCTGCTCCACAAGAACAAGAAAGCTCAACTTCCTTACTCATGGCACGCATAAAGTGCACACAGATAAATAAATAAACAACTGGGGGGAAAGCCCCTTAGAAAGCCTGTTGCCTCTTTCCCACTATTGCCACAGTCATCACCAGAACAGATCAAATGAAATGAGGGGAGAACATTTGGGATTATATATTGTAAAGGTTACACTGTACTTTCCCATCAATACAGAACAGAAAAAGCACTGCACATTATAAAGTTTATGTTTTAACTATACATTTGAGGCAGCTTAATTTGCCATGGCTGTTGGTACCACACGAACATTGTATCAGTTCTCAACGTTAAAGGAGGATAGCCAGAAAACAACAGAACTGGACAAATATTGCAAAGACTTTGGCATGAATATTCACTTGGTGGCTGTTTTCTTTAAAGAAAAGAAGAAATCACCTAAACCTGTGGCCCCTTTATGTTCACTTTCTATGAATATTTGAACTAGAGTTTCTTAGCAGCATGAATGCTTGAAGAAAGCTAATTTGAAAGTCATACGTGTGAGTGTTTGTGGAAAACGAATTCTAAATTTGCATGTGCAAATATTTGCACTGGGTATGCTATCGTTTTCCCCCAGTCAGGGAGCAGCAGCGCTGCCACGTGTCTCACCCCACCAATCCTGCCTGAGGAACCCAGCTTGAGTTTCAAATATTGTGTCAAATTTGCCTAGTGAACTTGTTTACGATTGAGCCCCAAAGTAGAAAAAAAGAGAAGTGTTAAAAGTGTATGAAATGTACTTGAACAACAAATGTTTGCAGAGATGGGAGATGCATAGCCGGGCATTTTGAAAGCAGAAACAGAGGCATGCTGGCACGAAACAGAGTTTGTTACTAAGTGTTTGCTCAGCTCTGGTAAAAGTGTTTTTACCTCCTCTCCCCTTCCAGAGGGTGAAAAAAAAAAACAAAAACTAAAGGGTAAAAATACCACTCAGCACAGGAAAACATTTTCTTTCCATCTGCCCACTTTATGGTCAATCTATTGAAATACTACCCTTTAAATTAAAAATATTTATGAGGCTTGACATGCTTTCTGAATGCGTAGGACAGAACTCTACCATTTATTTGCAGGTGAGGTCTTCCATGTTTTTATTGTGGTTTTTTTGGTTTTTTTTTTTCAGTTTTGGTACTTACAAAGCACATTGCTTCATGCATGCCATTTGCTTCAACCTACTTCATTGTAGTCTAGAAATAAAAAGAAAAGCCAGCTTAGCCCGACAGAAATCTGCATCCCCACCCCAGAATCTGTTGTCACAAAATGAAGGAGGGAGGGGGCTGGGCTGGGAAGGGTGGAAAGGGAGGAAAGCAGCTCAGTGCACAGCAACAATTCCCCCTCTCAGCTGAGCTGCAATGATGTCAGCTTTCTGATTACAAACTGCTTATTTATGCTTCAACAGCTGCCAAGAGCAGCAAATAAGTGGCTAAAAGAGTGTCTAGACCAGGCATTCAGGCCCCTATTGTTTGCTGGTTGTTACCTGGTTGACAGCGATGGGTACAGCTGCCTGGTGTGAAAGAGAGCAAGGGATGGGGAGGCAGTGATTGACAGAAGGGCCCTCGGGGTCAGGCACAGCCAGCCCCGATGGCCCCATGGCTTTATGTTCCCGGCTCTAAAGGGAAAGCGATGGCTCTGCCTAGAGGTTGGAGGTGAAAGGAAATGTTTGAGGGTAATGAAAAAAATCCCTTAGCCAAATTTGTGATCATGAACAGTTACTCTGGGGAATTTAAGCCCAAGTGTTAGGAGTTTTCTCTATATGCAGAGATGGTTATTGGTAGCCACCACAGGAATAATAATGTGTTACATGTACGTGGGCAAAA